GCCGCGTCGCTGTCTAACGGAAAAACATTGGTACGGAACCCATAGGAATGTAAACAAAACTTATACTTATTATTAAAATCTCAATAAAATATCTAATAATTTGATATGCATATGTCTAATGTCTAATGATTATTGTTGACCGCCAAATGTTATTTTTTTTAGTTTTTTTTACTAGATCTCCGAAACCGCTAGACCTATCTTCATGAAAATTTGATCAAATCTTCATCCTGTTAATGCAAGTAAAATGTTTTTTGAACTATACAAATCGGACGCTCCGTTCTCTTAAAAACTGAGTTACCGTTTTTGGCCCTTTTTAACCCATATCTTCGGAACGGCTAGACCTGCCTTTGACAAAAACTAATCAGCACGTCTCCTTATCAATACGAATCGAATGTTTTTTGAATTATTCAAATTGCTTCATCCGTGTTCCCGAAATCGTCGACGAAAATTTGTATCGGAACACACACACACATGGACGCACACACACACACACACACACATACATCAATTTTCTCCAAGGTATGCCAACATATTTAGAAACCTCTGAAACGTGAAGATATATAAAAATTTTCATTTTCGATTTTTTTGCGATTACTTACCCTATGGAAAGTTAATTATAAATAAATCAATTTATCATCTCCAGAACATTAACAATCGTCATTTCATTTCGAATCAAATTCCAAAAAAAAAATAGTTGATAAATTTACACAAAATTGAAAAAGTGCTCCCGCATAGTCACAGTCTAAACGCATTTGCAAATAATTCTGTGCGACATTTTCACTTATACTGTGCTCAGCTTGGCGGCATTTTCACATTTTTCAATAATTTTCACAAAATTGGAAAAGTGCTCCAATACACAAACAGTCTAAACGCACATGGGTAAACATTTGTACCAGAGTGGCGCTTAGACTGTGCTTAGCTTGGGTGATTTTTTGAATTTTTAATCCAAAATTACAAAAAAATTTTTTTGGAAAAAAAATTAGAAACAAAAATTTTTTTTTTCCAAAATCAATTATTTTGTTGAAAAAAGCAGAAAGTTCTTTGAATCATTTAAATCGGACGCTTAGTTCTCTCAAAAACAGCCATTTTTTTTAAATTTAGCTCTGTATCTCCGAAACCTCTGGGCCTACCTTTGCCAAAAACTAATCAGCACATCTCCCTATCAATAGGAATCGAATGTTTTTTAAACCATTCAAATCGGTTGATCCGTTCTCTCAAAAACTCGCTTTCTATTTTTGCACTCTTTGCTCCATATCTCCGTAACGGCTGGACCTGCCTTTGCCAAAAACTAATCAGCACATCTCCCTATCAATAGGAATCGAATGTTTTTTAAACCATTCAAATCGGTTGATCCGTGCGCCCGAAAACGTGGACGAAAAAAAGCGGACATACAAAACACACACACACACACACACACACACACACACACACACACACACACACATCCATTTTTTCTGAAGTATGCCAAAATGTTCAGAAACCTTCAAAACGTCGAGAAATGTAAAAATTTTTGATTTCGATTTTTGGACGATTACTATAACTTACCCTACGGGAAGTTAATTATGAAATTACATTTCAGTATTTGGCAGGCAAACTCTATAACAAAATATTTTATGTTTTTTCAATAATAAGTTTAATATATTCGAATATTATTCACATTGTATCTGAAAAGTTTGTAAGTCTAAAGTTTGTATCTGTAAAGTCTATAACAAAATATTTTATATTTTTTCAATAATAAGTTTAATATATTCGAATATTATTCACATTGTATTTGAAAAGTTTGTAAGTACAATTAAATGCAGTAAATTTGGTTATACATTCATAAACAATGAAACTCATTTAAAAATGGGGTATTAACTTGTATCATATTATACAATATATAAAATTTAAAATGTAAATCACATTTCACATAACATATATAAATAACCATCAAACATTAAAATGACTTATATCCACAGATCAAATTTAGAGCAATAAAATAATATTTCATATACATATACATATTTCAATAATTATTAAACATTAAAATAAATTAAAATTTAAATTAAAATAATTTAAAACGTGAAATCATCAGATCATTTTACTTGGCGTTTGAGGTTCTGCAAGTATTATTGAAATGGATACAACAGGCAAAAAATTCACATGTATTTGCTGCAACCCTTTTAATGAAACGGGTCATGCAAAGAAAAGAAACATACAAAATTTACGATATCCTTCGAAAACACTTCTGCAAAAAATTGAGTTCTTAAAACCGAATGATCAGTTGTGCTACTGTTGCCACAGACAATTGCAGGTGGATCAGGTTTATTTCTAAATTTTTTTATTTTATATTATAAATATAATTTTTGTTTTTTAAGACAATATAGAATCGAACCGGTACCAATGAGGATAATAGCAAGCCAAAATAGCGGAGAACAACGACAATGATTTACTTCAGAAGAAACCTAATGATAAAAAACACAAATCTCACTATTGTAGAAGAAAACTGGTAAAAATGAGTGTGTTGGTTAAAAATAGGTGAGTTTCTATCTCACGAACCAAATAAATGAATAATTTATGTATCAATTAAGCTTATTCAATTACCTCAAACAATTTTTACCTTTAAATTGGTGTTATTTCATACCACCAAGCTTTTGTAACGCCAAAAGCTTGGCTCGCCGCGGTGGCGGTTTTATATGTTCTTCAGGTTCACTAGAAATAATTATAATTTAGTTTCATTATAATTCAATATAAAAATAACATTTATAATATATGCATGCCGCCGCTCAGGCGACATAATCAGCATTAGTTTTGCAAGGAGCGAGTGAAAAGGGTTAAAATATGCTTATAAAGTTACATGGAAATAAAACACTGCCATAAAATATATTCATAATAAATGAAAATTAAAATTTAGATATTTAAATGAAGTTTTCGCTTTCAATTAAATCTTCGTCACAAATTTTGACTATTATTTCAAACTTTGATGATTTTAACTTTAATCAAATTAAACGACTTGCCGTAGGGTCCTGAAATTTTAGTATAATCTTTAGAACCATGATATATATCAATATAAAATGTTTTATAGAAGGAATTTGATTTTCACCAAAAACTAATCAGTATCTGAAACAGTTTAAGAATATATTTATGAAATACATACTTCTGAACTTGCAGTAAGTCATTGTCGTTGCCCTCCGCTCTTTCTGTATTATCCTCTTTTTTTTTTTTCTTCACAACACAACCTATATTGATTAGAAAAAGATACATTTATAATACGATTTAAAAATTTCCTTGATAGAAGCTCACCTGCTCCACCGCTGCACACGTTTTCTAATCTTCTGCGGCAGCGGTAGCACAATTTATCATTCGGCATTAGAAACTCAATTTCTTTCAAAGGGTTTTGGAAGGATTACGTAAATTTTGTCGATGCCTTTTCTTAGTATGACCCTTTTCCTTAAAAGGATTGCAGCAAACACTCATGAATTTTTTGCCTGTAGAATCCATTTCAATGATATTTGCAAAACCTGACTGATTCCACGTTTGTCTGTATAAAATAAATTTTACTTATAATGTAATGCCACGCTATAGCCTATAGGTGTAATCTAAGTTTATAATTGATATAACTTACCAAATATTTAATAAAATGCGCTGGGCGAGAGGATAAGAGAAAATGATTGTTGCTCAATAGCCTCCTCGGCCATGCCTTCACATTTTCGCAAGTGTTGCACGATTCGAGTTCCTAATGTTATGACCGTTGATGTCTAACTTCACATGCGTTCTGTGTCATGGGAAGGTTTGCAGGTTGGAGCTGTCAGCTGTCAGGTGTCATGCGACCGCTGTAGTATTTCCCCTGAAACGAAATTGCATATAGTAATCTGACAGGAGAGAGCCTGAAGAAAAATCTGTTATTGTAATGAAACTTTCTTCGTGTAAGTTTTCTTCGGAGGGTCCATGGTCGGTCCCCAGTGGTGTCGTTGAATCTCGTGTGCATTTGATTGAAATTCGTCGTCCGTTTTAGTAATATATGCCGGCTTTAGTATCTGTTCGTAGATGTTTTTCTCGGTGTCGTTTACGAGAATCTTGTGGATCTTGTATGTTATCTGGTCTAGGATTTTGCGTGTATGGAGGCTTCAATGGTGTCCGAATATATATATTGTATAGCGAAGGAAATGCCTATATGATGCATCTCAGACTGGTCTTTTGTCTGGGTACTGACTGAGCCCCCCGCTTTGCCCTTGCTTCTAGTCCCCACGGAAACCGCCGTTTAGGCATTACTTTGTGAGGGAAGTATTTATACTCATATTTTAAATAATTAGTGCAACATGTATTTAACATCCCTTAGCAAAATAAGATTTCTCAATATAATTTAATTAGATTGATAATAGTATAAACTAATTAACACTCTTCGATCCAGATATAACCAATGGGCGAAGTTTAATTCGCCCTTTCTCTTTCAATATAACGCAGGTTAATTAGCACAGCTCTCACAAATCTGTCCATAGCGTTCCAAGCAGCTTCAGTTGTCAGCATCATTTTGAGAACAGTATCTGGAGTAATTCTTTGGCTCAATATCTCTTCTACATTGCTCACTAAATTAGAGCACTAAATTGCGGGCACACGAAGAACACGTGTTCAGCATCTTTGATTTTGCCCAAACAATATGGACAATCCTGCAAGCTATCTTGCTTGAAGTGAATGCTGTGACATCCCACAGTTGTTGCCATCGGTCAATGTTCTGCTGTTCTCCTATTTTTACCTTTTCAGGACTCAGTTGTTGATATCTTTGATGGTAATTTGTCCCTCTTTCCTCTGTTAAGACTAAGAGAGGCAGAGTTCCTGAAATGACGCATACTGCTTCTTCCAATATTGTGCGAAATGTGCAAGCAACTCTTAAAGCACTTGGACGATATATAGTTCCTGCCATTTACCGCGATTTTTGATTTTTGAGAGCATCAGTCTGTGTGGGGGTACCATATGTAAGCACCGAAGTTACCACTGATAATAGTAATATCCTTCTGGTTTGTTTAGGGCCTCCAACATTAGGCATCAGTTAAGCAAGTCTCGTCCTCACTACTGACATCTTACCACTAACATGTTCCACCTGTTGATTAAAATTCAATCAAGCATCAAGCATTACGCCAAGGTAACGGATATGAGGTTTTGACGTTTTTTGATCTCTAGATTTCCTATCTTCAGCTTTATGGTCGCTAAGAACAGCTTCACTTTTTTGTTGTGTTAATTGGACTTTTATTGTTCTCCTCTAATGATTAATTTTTCTCAAGGTTATGTTAAATGGACTTACGATATCATCAATTTGTTTGGAGACAACTATTATGGCTACATCGTCTGCATATGCCACTAGTTTGACACATGCTGGAATCTCCAGTCTTAAAAGGCCATCATACATAATATTCCACAGCAAAGGAACAAGCACATCATCATGAAGACATATGTTTTAGTATCTGTATGCTTTAGAATAAACATTCAAATGCATTCATTACTTACCTGTGTTTGTCAATTATGATTTGTTGGTTCTGCAGGAGATGCTAGGATATATTCTTTGAGGGAGTTATGTAAGCCCAGATGTACAAAAGACACCATCGCAATCCAGTGTTCTGGTGAATACATTAATACAAGACCAAAAGTTAACTGATACATCTGAATGAATCTAATATAGTTCTATTTTATAGTTTGATTTAACACAATTCCTACAAATCATTATCAAGATTATTTCATAACTGTTTACCATCTCATAAATAAAGAAAATGTTAAATACATATTTATCACTGGATAAACAAAAGAGTTTTAGAGAGTAATTTGAAGGTATAACATATGATTAATAGGATTGAGATTATAATATTAGATATAAATAAGACTATTTAATTACTATAGAAAAATAGCATTTGTGGTAGCTATATTGGTACTATATCTAAATCTATATTGGTATTATATCTAAATATAATGTTATTTTTATACTAAATATAACAATAACAAATGTTTCATAATAAACTGAACAGAACATAATTTTCAACTTTTGTTTGATTCTGAATAAAATAATAAACAAAACCAATGCATGTTTTAAAAACATGTTTCCAACTCCTTCAGATTTTGTTCGTATTTCTACTATTTAGAAGTGATAAAAACAGGTTTATAAAAACATATCACACTTTATTGAAATTACAGTGACAATCTTAAGTTTTTTATGCCTTCGTCTTGTCAGCTTTGCTTTTATCAGTACAGGGACATTCTCCGAGAGAAACATGAGGACTTTCAGTCGGTCTTCCAGCTTTGTTCTTAATATCTTCCTCGACTTTTGCCTTTCCTATGGACGTATTTGATCGTGCAGCAGCCAATGCTTTTGTTTTCATATTTTGAGTTTTTAAAGGCCTCGCACACTTTTTTTCTGCTTTCTTATCGGCTGCTACAAACTCTTCGGACTGGTAAAAGAATAATAAAAACAGTTATTGAATGAAATAGCAGACTATTACTAAATTGTGGAAAAATGCGTTGAGAGGCGTTGAGAGTATTTTTATCAAATACTTGATTGTAGAAAAAGGTTTACCACTTTTGTTAAAGAATTTTATGTTCCATGAAACTGTGCTAAAAGTTTTTGACAAAGGAAGATCCAGCCATTTAGAAGATACATACTGATTCGTTTTAGACAAAGGCTGCCGTTTCAGAGATAGGGAAGTACAAGGTTAAAAAATAGCAGTTTATGAGAGAATGGAGCATCTGATTAGAATGATTTAAAAAGCATGGTTTGTGTTTGGGGGAAGACAAGTCTTGCAGTTTCAAAGTTATCAAAATTAGAAAAAAAAAATTGAAAATTTTTGAATCAAAATTATTAACTTCCCGTAGGGTAAGTTATAGTAAACGTCCAAAAATCGAAATTGAAAATGTTTACATTTCTTCACGTTTTGAAGGTCTGAACATTATGTTATACTTTAGAAAAAATGGATGTGTGTGTATGTTTTTGGGCGCACGGTTCAACCGATTAGAATGGTTCAAAAAACATCCGATTCCTATTGATAGGGAGATGTGCTGATTAGTTTTTCGCAAAGGCAGGTCCAGCCGTTTCGGAGGTACGGAGCAAAGAGTGCAGAAAATGAAAATCGAGTTTCTGAGAGAATGGTGCATCCGATTTATATGATCCAAAAAACATTAAATTTGTAATGACGGGGAGAAGTGGTGATTAGTTTTTGGAAAAGGCAGGTCCAGCCGTTTTGGAGATACCGAGCTATGTTTATATGTGCTAAAAATGGCAGTTTTTGAAAGAACTAAGCATCCGATTTGAATGATTCAAGAAACTTTGTGCTTTTGTTGACGAAACGATTGCTTTGGGATTTTTTTTTATTTCCAAAGTTTTTTGTTTGAAGTTCTCACTATTTTTATAAATATTGGACATTGTCCTTCATTTTAAATTCGATTTATTAGGTTTGACACAACACATGATCAGATATAAAATAAGACCCTTTATTCTAAATCGGCTGGTATGTTTAATTATGGTATGGAAAGCCTCAGGAATTTGCCTTAAGGGACAATGCCAAGCCCCAAATTTGTTATTAGTTGTGTTATTTATTGTAATTTAGATTTCTACCATGTTTGTAAGATATTTATATTATATTATACTTCATACCTGTTTAATATTTTTCAAAACTATCTCCGGTACTTTCCAGATGAAAATGCTACCGGAGGCACTGCAACTGACAATGAACCTCGAGTCCGGAGAAATCGCAACAGCCGTGATGGATGATGTGTGACCACAGCCTATGAAACTGCATGTACCATCCATGTAATCCCAGAGCTTTGAAAATGATCCATTTAGAAGGATTTAATAAAGAAATTACATTAAAAGGTATGTTACAGTCTTTTAATAGATAATTTATATATTGTGTCACCTGCATTAAGCAATAATACAAATGGAAATCATACTTTTGAAGATAATTAACTTCCCGAAGGGGAAGTTTATGTTTCATCAAAGAATCCGATTCGCTAATTTTGTTTTCTCGACGTTTCAAGTCATTCTGAATCGAATGAGACCAAATTTGGAAAAAGTATGCGTATGTGAACAGATTTTTTACCGTAAATCGTTGTTTTCTCAGAAACGGCTGGACCGATTTCAAAAATTTAAAAGCCATTCAATATATCTTGATGAGGACTAGCGTTTATTAATTTTGCGAGACGATCAGCCAAGCCGTTCCTTTGTAAATAGCATAAAAGTAAAATTGCTTTCGTCCACGTTTTAGCCCGCAATTCTGAATCGATTTTGAAAATTCGAAAACCGTTCGAAAGATATTGGTTGGGAATCGTGCTGATTCGTTTTTGGTAAAGAAACGGCCGGGCCGTTTTCTTGTAATAAAGTGTTAAAAAAAATTTTTCGACGATTTTTATTATTATTTTTTGGTGGTAGATAACATAGTCTTATAGATCATACTAAAATATTACGGCCCTACGACAAGTCGTTTAATTTAAAAAATTCGTCAAAGTTTGCAAAAATTAGTATCGTTTTTTTTAGCATTTGTCAAAATTAGAAGTTTCATCGACGTATTCTTAAAAACTGCCAGACCGATTTAAAAAATTTAAAAGCCCAACCGATGTATCTTTGTGATTTGGAAGAAAGTGTTAAACTTTTCGTCCACATTTAAGCTCATACTACGGAAATTATTTTAAAAAATTAAAATCTGTTCGAAAGATATTAGTTAAGAATGATACTGATTAGTTTTAGGTAAAAATCTACCGAGCCGTTTTCAAGTAATTAACTGTTGAAAAAAAAACTAAGCCGACTTTATGGAACTTTTTTTGGCGATATATATCATTGTCTTATAGAACTTACTGAAATATTACGGTTTTATAACAAGTAGTTTAATTTTAAAAATTCATAAAACTTTGCGAAAATTAGTAGTTTTTTTGAAGTTTGTTAAAATTAAAATTAGACAATTTACTTGGTATAATGATAGAGTACACGGGTCTCAATGAACATACTAAACCATTGAAGTGCTACGCAAACTTGTTCAATTATGAAAATTATTGATTTTTGAAAATTTGCTTTTAGAAAATACCCCGAGTGATGAACGTGTTCGTTCGTTTTCAATTATGTGTAATAAATCTACTCGGAATACTTTTAATCACTCATAAATTAATTTATTTTTTATTAATTAAGTAGATTATTTACACATATCGGGAAGTTCATGTAACTTGCCTCAAGGCAAAATACCAATACCAACCAGTTTTATTATGGCTAAGTCATTCAATTGGTTGCCATTAGTGCCAATATAATTATATACTTAGTTCTACTTATAAATCGTACACTATTGGTTTCTATTGCAATCATTAGGACAGTTGTTTTTTGTAATTTCGAAAAAAAGTGTTAAACTTTTCGTCCACATTTAAGCTCATACATAAAAAAAAGTATCAGAGCTTTATGTGTATTGTGTTAAAAAAAATCAAAATCTATTCATATTTCCTTTACTACCTTGACAATTTGATCATTCGACCCAGTGGCAAACAGTTCTCCTCCCATGGAAATGCAAACAGTGTTGATCGCCCCCGATGCAGAGGCTCTCAACTCTCTCACCATCGATCCATCGAGTGCCTCCCAATAGACAACTCTTTTGTCTGCACTTCCAGTCAGCAATTGAACTGCTGTCGGGTAATATCGGACGCAGGTGAAGAGGGTGTTGGCGAAGAGCACTATTTTGCGAACCATCCGTCTGGAAAATAATAAAGTCAATAATTAATTAATTCATTAGATCAGTATGGTATTGTAGGTAGACATATGTTCTTATCAAAGACTTGTCTATCTTTCTCTTGAGTTTCAGATTGATTGATATGGTAACCAATACTATTTGTCAATTTTATGATCAACACATCTTATTCTTTTGTTTTTATTTCAGATTTATGAATATATTTATGAATAATATTATTTGTGTTCATTTTGATGTTTTAGGGTATAGATTCCCAAACTTGTTTGTGGTCGTGGATCCCTTGCTTGGTCGTGGCTTTGTCATGGACCTCCTATTTAGCCTATATCGATTTTCCATAAATTTCTACTAACTACTTTCCATAAATTTGTACTAACGTTTAGTATTAAACATTTAAAGTAGTTATTCATTAATTACTTGAAAAAATAAATATTAACTATGTGTGTTATAATCCACTATCGTGGGTGCCTAGAATTTCTTTTCACTGGTATGGAGCCCTTGAAAGTTGTCATGGACCCCTGAATGTCCATATTGACCACTTTGGGAATCACTGTTTTAGAGCTTCTTAGTGTCAATACTTATCATTATTTTTCTTTACATAAATGTAGCTGAAACATCAAATTATCTTTTTTGTACTTTTATACAAAGTCGTGTATAAAGGTTATGGGCGTATTTCCATACAGAATTGGCCCCACCCTGGTATTTAAATAATTTTGATTTTATAGGTATTTTCGAGAAAATTCGGAATACCAAATTTCAAATCCGTAGCTCATCATTTGGCCGAGATATCGGTGAAAGCATGTGAAAGTGGCCCCTTTTTTCAAACTCACTTTTTGTGGGAAATATGAGAGATATCGAAAAATGTTAACGTCATTATATTTGTACTGATCTTGTCTATGTTGTTCATAATAAATAATGTGAAAAAATTATTTGTTAGTGCGTGAAAAGGTGAAAATGATTTTTCATTGTCCATTTTTTTACCAGTGCTGCTTTTTGGACTACTTTATTATATATATTATTATATATATTAGCATCATTCGAAAGCCTGAACATTTTTCTTCTGTTATTCAAAAATTCGTTAGATAGATCTGGATAGATCGATAGATGAGAAATTCTGAGAGCAAGTATGATGACCAATATATTGATACCTTGAAATTTATTGTTAACTTTTCGTAGGTTAAGTTATAGTAAACACAAAAAAATATTAAATGACATTTTTTATATATCTACGTTTCAAAGGTTTTTGAACCATTTGACGTACCTTAGTAAAAATGGACGTATGTATGTGTGTGTTGTGCGGATACAAATTTTCGTCGACGATTTCGAGACGACGTTTTGATAATACGAGGCAAAAAGTGTCAAAAATGGTAATTCATTTTTGAGATAACCGAGTGTCTCATTTCAATAATTCAAACATTTTATTTGTACTGTTTTTGTAGATGCAATAAAAAAGCAAAAAAAAAACGACAAAAATAATTATTAAACGTATGCACATCAAATTATTAGATATTTTGTTTATATTTCTATGGGTTCCATACCATTCTCTAAAAAAAATAATGTTTTTTTTGAAAATGTTAATTTTCAGTACAGGAATTTGCCTTTGGCACGATGCCATGCACCACCAGTTTTTTCACAACAACGAAGGAAATGTGTTTGGTATGAATGTCTGGGTATGTCGGGCTCGCTTAGGCTTATCTCTTACTTCTTGTTCCCATAAAAAGGCTCTAGAATTCTATGATTCCCAATCTTAATTAAATTTCCGTCCTAATTGATCCTATTCTAGTCCAGTCATTTAAGCTTAAATTAATTTGTGAATTCTTGTATATTGACACTCTAAAAGTTGGCTCAAAACCTAAATATGGTAGGGTGTACACAACATATGTAGGTTTTGAGACAACTTTCAAGGTGCTATTATTAGGGTATTTACAGACTTACAGCAGGGTATCTCGAATTTCGAGGTGAACTTACTATAATGACTGGACTATTCGATCTTCTCCTTTTCGAAGATCAAAACTTTGGTAACGAATGTGTCTCTTTGATTGTGTGTGTATGTATGTGCAGATGCAAAATTTCGTCATTACATTACTATGATTGCTTACATCAAGTCCCAAATAATAACAGTTCCATCTGTACTCGAACTGGCAGCTTCAGAATCGAAGCAATTGATGTGCAGTGAAGTCACAGGTCCTGCATGCTCCTTAAAAATTATCTCCATATTTTGATGGGTTGGATACAGTGCCCACACCCGAACCTAATAGACAGAATATTCAGATTAAATATCTCTTCACAAAAAGTAATGGTCAGTGATAAAAATAGCAGTTACTGTAAGCTGAATCTAAGACTTTGTGTGCCAATATTATATTGATTTTTTTTTTAATTTCTTACTTGTCCTTCACATCCTCCAGTAATCAAACGTTTATCATCAGATGTGATTGCCAGACATGAGACGCCTTTATTATGGGCATTTGTGATGGACCACATTAATTTTCCAGTTAATGGTGTAAAAGCTCTCACAATACCGTCATTCCAACCTGGTAAAAAAATTAATAAACTAAATAATCAGAATGTTGTTCTGATCAAACCATATTTTCAGAGTAGGCCACTGAATTTATCAGTGAGGATTTTACTATTTAAATGTCTATTTTTTTACATTTCACCTGTGATTATAGCTTTTCCACTATAAGTAAACGTTAAGCTTGAGCAATAAAAATTTTCATGCTTGATTCTCAATAATTCTGTTTTTTGTCCATTGACCAAATGCGTACATCTCCTTTGGAAGCAGTTGCGAATACACCACTGTATTTCCTAAAAATGAAAAAAATCAACTTTACATTTTTTTTTGGACTTGAAAATAATGTTATAAAATATTATTTTTTACGTATTTTTATCAAATGAATTAATTTATTAATAACGAAGTGATTTATGACATCATGATAGAGGAACGTTAGTAAACAAATTAATATTTCTTCATGTTTTCCCAAAATATTCTAGGTAATTTTCAAAACTGTATCAGTTTTCGTTTAAATTAATATTATTCTTTTGTGTTGGTGAAAGAGAAGTAATTGATATGTGTAAATGATGGCATTTTGCTTGTAATTGAAAGTAAGTGATTTAATTTTTATTTCACTCAGATAATTCTGAATCCATTTTACAAGTTCTAAATTATTCCAAAATCTGTCAATTGGAAACCGTATCAGTTTTGTGCAAATGTGAGAGGAACCAATATTTCTTAGGCTATAGCTATTTTTATCTTGGTTTTTTTTGGATATTTATTAAATGTTTAGGTTTGATATTTTGTTTAGCATTACGTAGTCTTAATGGAACAATTCTTCACTAAATTTCTTTGGTCAATTTGGACATTCAAACCGATCGGTATCTATCATTCATGATGAAGACTTAATTTTTTTTTGCTATCTAAGGCAATTACCACTACTTTAATTTATTTAAAATTCCTATAAATTTTGGATTAATTTTGTCTCCCAAGGAAATACACAAGCAAATATAGCTGCTGTGTGGCTGTTATTTCAGTTTTTCGGAAATTCAAATCTAATCGGTATTATCAATTCATATAGACTCAAATTGTTTTCGCTATCTAAGTATTTAACTAACTATATTTAACTATATTTATTTACATTTTTTCTCATTTTGGATTAATTTTGCTCACCAAGGAAATACACAAGCAAATATAGCTGCTGTGTGGCACGTTGTCTTCAATTTGAGATCAAAATTCTCCAAATCGATGGTGAAAATCTCGCTCTGATTCGTTTGCAACTCCAACTGTTTTCTCATCAAAGGTCACCATCGATGTCACCATTGCAAAAACATTCGTACGTTTTATCTGAAATTAAAATTAAAGTATGTATGTTCTTCAATTTTAAAGAAATATTGTTTCTGCCAGAGGATCCAATTTATTATTGCATTTATCTTTGTGGACTATCATCTCCTAATTAATTCTAAATAGTTTTATAAACATCATTTCGTTATATATTAAAAATTCCCTTTCAATTGTAAGGAATGTTTTCCAGGACTAATTGACAAAGTTCTGTTCCCAAGATATGACGATCTAGGTTCTGAAACTGATAAAGGCATTAGTTGTTGCTTTGCGTATCGAAATCCACTGTGGTAATTGATATTTTATTGATTACAGGATTCAAAAAAGATCAATTATATTATATTTATATTTTTGAATAGAAGTAAAAGTGCAAATGTACCCCAGCACACTCAAGAACTGCGCATCCTTAAACCCACGCAATTTTTGAATGTGCAAGTGAACATTTGCACAAGGTTCTTGCTTAAAAGGTGAAAATGAAATGTCTTAATTAGTCATTTAAGAAGTTGGTAATTGATTACCTTTTTGAAGTTGGGAGTCGTTGGTCTGTCAATTTTCCTGTTTCGTGTTTTTCATCTGGGATGTCACGTTCTACGACTAAATCTATTGTTCCATCTCCTGCACCAATGAGCAAACTACCATCATGCAGTAAAAGCAATGCTTGGACACCTAAAATGAAAATAAAATAAAAAATCATAATTTTGGTTTAATTTTTAAAGCAGTAATATGGAAATTTCTATTAACCAAAAATTTGCAAAAAAAAGTTATATAAAAAATATTTATTTCAAGTATGCTTAGAGAATGTTTTACAGTTTTTACAGAAACTATGGTTGTGTAGAGGACTGCACATATGATTTTAATGAATTCTGGATAATCTGATATAACTCTTTCGTTGCTTATTGATTAACATTTTTTGGATCCATCAATGATGTTTTTTAATAATTAGGTCCATTAATAATTGTTAAAATAATCTACTCACCCATACTGTAGAGTTCAACATCCTGGCCTTTGGTTTTCTTTCCATTGAACAAACCATAACATCCAATGATCACTGGCACTTTTGGACAATCTAAAATCTGAAAATAGTACCAAAAAATCACATTTTAAAAAATCTAATTAATTTAAATTTGTTAAAAAAAATCCAATTACTTAATAATATAACTTGGTCGTATGATGGTGACCACTTCGATTTATAATTTCTTTCAGTAATCAAAAAGAGTGAAATTTCAGATAAAAATTTGTAAAAAAAATCGTGACAAAATTGGAAGAACCAATATTTTTCTGATGTTATTTTTCTTATTATTTCTAGAATTTTATAATTTAATAACCACGTTAGTATATCTCTTTATGTCTGATGCATGACTGATACTAGCAAAATAAGAATTATTGGTGCTTTGGTTAATAATTTAAAAAGATAAACATCATTGTTCTATGAACAAACGATATCATTTTTAGTCAGTAAATAACAATTGTTATTTTAATGTCAGTTTTATTTGTTGATTTATAAACTCAATGGCATAAGGTTTCAATTGTGATAAACTACACTAAATTGACACGTTTGCGGACGTGGATGCTTTAGCATTCAAATTTTAAAGTCACTTATTTTGAATTTAATTTTATAAAATCTTACGTTTTTGTAAATGTTATGACTAACTGATTCTTTGGGTATTTTTGTACCTTTTCCTCACAAATCACCTTGGGCAAGTAGAAATATGTAGATTTACAGGAGACGTAAAATAGAAGCGACATTGCGTAAAATAAATTTGTGAGGAAATTTTTGCTGTCAATTCTTATAAATCGGGTACAATCAAATAAAAAATATCAAATTTTACAAAAATGAAATGACTGTCCATTTTTTGTAAATCAATATGTGGTCAATGGAAACATTTAAGTTTTGTTTGCGCAATTGGTCATTTAGCTTTTACCACCTAGCTGGAAAAAAATTTACGGTTTTAAATTTGATAATAAAATAATGAAAATGCTTATCAATATTCATTTAAAATTGTTCAAATTTTTCAACATTGCCATTGGCCACATATATATGGTGCACCCTGTACATTGCTGAAGCTTTTACTATAAGGTTTGATATATAAAAGTTAGTAAAATATATTCGTTAAAAAAATATGACTAGTGTTTATTTAGTTATTTCTTGTTACCTCAGTATCATAATGATAATTAAATCGAATCTTGACAATATCTCCACTGGTGGTTCCACAATATCCATACTCGTCTCTGCTATTTCCAACAATGCAAGTATAAATTCGTTTTAATTTGCCGCAATTTACTTCAACAAATCTGGCGTCATATTTTTCTGGATAAATCGCCCATAGACGAAGAGTACCTGGAATTTTAGTACCTTTATGATAAAAAACTTTTGATCTGGATCTAATATGAATGGTTCCTTATGATGGGCATCAAAAATGTATTCTGTTAACATCAAGCAGACGAAACAAACAATTTAGGTAAATATATTTGGTTCTAAAGAACCATTTATCCCTATGGGTACCGAAAGTTTATTTTGTTATTGTCAAACAAGTAAATGATTGTGGTATTTTATTCTCCAGGACTTTTCCAAAATAATTAATTCCAGGTAATGTGTGCTCCAGGTAATTTTCCCACCGAGCATGCAGTTTTCAAAGAGTGAAATAATTAAATTAAATAATAAATTATTTATCGTCCTCGTCTATAAACAGCCGAACATCCATAACAATCGCCTGCAGTAATTTTGGCAGCTGCTCCATTATAAATAGTACTTCTGCCTCCAATGTCCCAAACGTTAATTGTTCCATCATCACGGCCTCCAATCGTTATTAAGAAATTTTCGTCTCCTGTAAATCTACATATTTCTACACGAACCTGGAAAAAAATATAAAAAATATTTGAGAAAAAAGGTTTAATTACATGGCCATGTCGGTGATATATGTGTGACATAAAAAATAGTGTTTGGTAAAGAATTTTGAACTAAATTATCATAGCCCTTTTTTAAATAAAGTTACCATGGCCCATGTGATTTTTTCTGATATCGTGGCGATTAACGTGTAAATAATTTAATATATTTATTTATGATTTTATAATTTATTTACTTTATGTAATTCCTGTTTGGTAATAATGGTTCTTTCATAAAAGTCCCAAATTATGAAGCATGCTTTAAATCCCATATGATTCAATTGGCCACTCGCCACATATTTTCCGGATCTGTGAACCAAAAAATATTATAAAAATTTTTATTTTAATTTTATTTTAATTTTATTACCTTGAGAGATCTAAAGAACATACTAAATTTGTGTGGCCGGATAAAAAATGTTGTTCTTTGGTGCGCCAATTTTGAATAGAAACTTTGTTGCCAATGGCGTAGACTATATGGACCAAATCAGGATGAACCAAAAGACCTGATCTGATGTTTCCTGAAATAAATTTGTCACATAAATGAATATTAATAATACATTTTGAAGTGCAGTATATTTCCTGAGCTGATTAATATCTACTTTAAATAAAGTAAATAAAACAAAATGTTGCTTTGTTAGAAGGCTATCTCAATGGTTTGTTCTATCTATCTCAGTGCAATTTTGATTAAAGGCAACCCAATGGTTTTCAATTCTTATAGTGAAGATATTTACCTTGGAAGGGCTATTTTACTTCTATACAAATTCTGATCTATAATTTCGAGTGAACATGTATATTACTACTGCTTGATACCATACTATCCAAAACTGCATTTAACATTGTATTAAATAAACGATACATTTTATTTAGAATCAGCTAAATAAGGGTATTTTTCATCAAAATGATTTTTTTGAATGTTCTAAAATAACATTTGGCTTTTTCACATTTTATTTATTAATAGTATCCCTAATAATTCGTAAAATGTTTAAAGAAGGAATAAAAATAATTTGAGATCGACAGTGCATATAAATCAATTTTTATTGAATTAGATAAAAAGTAGATGTATTATGCAAAAAAAACATCTTAGCTAAAGCTAGTATTAAATATTAGCAAAAAACAGAGTTTGTTTAAGTAACCACGATAAGTTATTAAAGTATTTTTATCATAATATAAGAACAACAAAATTTGTATTAAAACAACATTATTTTAGTATTATAAATTCGATTGAATTGATAAAATTGAGTATTGTATCAATATTTTATACTATAAAATTTAGAACTTCAACTTACCATCAAATGCTATTATCGCTTCAGCTTCTAAAAACGAAACATCTCCTTCACCACATTGCATGTTTAACAATTTTTTATATAAAATAAAATTACATGTAATAAAAAATATGTATTAAATCCTTTATCAAAAATATATTTACTATTTATTCAAAATATAAAATCAAATCTGACAAATGTCTTTTTCACTTGTTTATTTGAACGAATCGTTGGATGTCATGGATACTGGTCTTGGGTAAATCTCCCCTTCGAATGAAATTTTTTCTAGTAAATTTGTTAGGGCTGGTTTTATCAGCATGTTTGTATATTGATATTTAAAATACAGGAAAAATATTTTTATAAGATATTTAATATGTTTTAAATAGTATTTTGCAAAATGTAAGAGTAAGAATAATCGCATTTTGGACAGAGAAATATGTTTAGCAGTTTGATGTATAGATAGGTTTATTTGATTTCCAAATTTTTGGAATTAGGTGGCAAAATTTGAAATTTTGCTTACAATTAGATATTTAACTTAATCTCATGCATTTTTCAGATCTTCAGTAATATTCATTAATTAAAAATTCAACTCGTTAGGAACAAATATTTAGATTACATTTATTCATTAGAACATTTTTCATGAGAACTGCTGAATAAAAATTTTTAATCCTGATTTTTATTTATAAATAATAACAATTGAATCTAATACAGTATTTATTTACTAACAATAAGACTGTTTTTTACACTTGATTTTATTTAAATACTCTCCTATATTATACAAAAACTTTAAAAATATCTAAATTTTAGATCTGGTCATAAGTCCAGTTATCTCAATTCTTGAATATTTTTTAATTTTCACCATTTTCTGAAGAACAAAAAATAGCAACACTCCAACAGACTCAAAACTGATGCTCCAAAAAATAAGCTAATTATGCCACCAATAGATACTGAAATCATTTGTTATATAAATTAATTTTTCATTATTTAACATATAGTATATTTTTATAGTATAGTATATAGTATATTTTTTTACCAACAAGATCCAAAGTTGTTCTGACGATTTTTCTTGCATAACGTAATGTAGGTAAGGCTTGTAATTTTATTTCAACTTCTATGCCTTCTATTTCCTCAGAAGATCTACATAATTATAAGCAAACAACATAACAATAATCAAATATATGATTATAGCTAAAAATATATAATTATAACTATTTAAATTTTTAGCTAATATAACGATTACTTAACTAACTAGTTCTTGAATTGTAAAGGCTATAACTACTCTAATCTCGGAAAATTATTTATTATTTTTTTATTAAAAAATAGAAAAGTAGAAAAATAACTACTTACTCATGGTAGCTATGTATAATGTTATAATCAGATTCAGTGCACGACGGTTCACAATCACATTTTACTCCAAGCAATTTGTCTAAAATCATTATCCGTGGATATGGATAAATTAGAGAATAAACTTAAAATTGGTAATTCATTGGTATTAAAATGATTTTGAAACAAAAATAAAAATTTGTGCTTACCTTCATTTTCAGTTAAACATGTCAAACCCTTGAGATCACAGTAGAATTCCGCATCTGAAACAAATTTAATATTGATCAAAACCACTATAAAATTTTTGATTATTGTTTTTTACTTACAGACTTCTGGCATCAAATGATGTGTACAGTTGCACAATTGAAGTTGTTCCTCCAATCTACATTGGACCATGCAGACACTATGACTGTAATATTGGTAGGCCTTCAAGGAATTTGTGTCTTCGTCAGGAAATCTGCAACCCCGACGGTCAACTGGAAGACCCAGGAGGGCTGGGTCGTTGTCGATTTCGATCACCTGGGAAAAATGAGGTCAGAATATTTTATGTTTTTTATCTATATATTTTTATTGATATATTTTATCGATATATTTATATTTTTACATTCAATCATTGAAAAGTAATTGAAAATTAACATTGGTATATCTTTACTTTTTAAGACTTTGTGGTCGTTTTGGCCTGTCTTAGAAAAACATGGTCTCTGTTGGTATGGGTGTAATACTTTTAAAAATTTGCCAAATTTTTGAAAGAGCTAAAATTTACTAAAAAATAGATTGTATACAATTATGAACTTGCTTTACTACTTATATTATGAATCTGTAATTTTGAGCAACTTGACATAAAAAACTAAACTAATATGGATAACTTCACATCTATATTAGCTTTCCCTTTCATCAAATAAGTTGTCTGAATACGAGCCAAATATTTTATCGAAAAAAGATCAAAATGTTAAATTAATAATAAACGTTACAGAGATTTTTAGAGCAATTCTGGCATAAAAGAGCTCATAAAATAGCATTGTCATGGCAACGCTCTCTTATGCTTGTTCTTGGTATTGAAAATTATGAAAGTGCTTATCTATTTTTAGTGCGATAATGTGTATTTTACATATAAACAAGAAAGGAATAATCTTATGATAACTGCACCATCTAGAATTCTGTTATCATAACATTTTTCCTGGCTTGTTCATATGTAAAATACGGATACAGATCGCACGGCAAACAGACAGACATTTTCATAATTTTCAATACCAAGAACAAACATAAGAGAGCGTTGCCATGACAACGCTATTTTATGAGCTCTGTTATGCCAGAATTGCCCGCTATATGAATTTTATAATGTTACCAACTTTTGATTTTTTTACCGTAAAAATTTTGGTAACTTTCGAACCCCAGAACACTAATTCCTTGAAGTCACTGTCAATGTTATAAAATGGTACATCTTCGGGAGCATGGAAAAACACCTAAAAATTAATAAACATTAAATTATTTTCATTATCAGCATTATTGTAATAATTATACTAAAGAGTTACTTACTTTAATATCATCTTTTGTTCGAAAAACTAATTTTCCTGGACCACTTGAACGATTGGACATTAGTAGATTATCATTGTTTCTGTTAAAAAATCGAATTTACTGGACTAAGATAATAAATAAATAAATCAAAACTTATTTTGATTATTTGAGTCTTTAGATAAAATTTCTTATGGTAAAAAAAAATATTTATCTATCTATTTTTTTTCTTATTTTTAATTCAATTCAACTATTCGAATTCTGCAATTTTGAATCTAGCAATAAATTTTTTTCTGCCAGTGTTAGGACTCGAACTGAGTAGCATGTCGGACATGCTACTGACTGAGCTATGCCCACCACCATAAATTTAATCATCAAATAATGTGTAAATCAATTTACCTCGTATGTACCGAATTAATGGCGTAACATATCCCAAATTCAGTTTCCAAAGGCAAAAATTTTTCGCAACATGAAAATTCCACTCCATTCCAAGAACAAAACTCGAACATCATTTGGCAATTTGCACGAATCTAAAATAATATTATTTTTATACATACTAAGGGACTGATACTGCCGTATAACAGAAAAATGTTATGGCAAGGCCATGTTTCGCTTCAACTTCCAACATTATGCCACTGAATTATACTGTCAAAGTGTCGTGTATTTGCTGTGCATTCAGACGTTTTACACATAAACTGCAACGTCACTCGTATGTTATGAAGCTGGATCAGAAAGACCCTGTTATCTAAGATGTTTTTTTTTTACATTTATGCGGTTTCTAGGTTATGTTTTCAAGAAATTCGCCTGACTGCACAGCAACTACATGGCTTTTGCCAATATTTAGTATGGAAAGTTTGTCATAACATAGCCTTTCCATAACATTGGTTGTTATGTGAGAGGATAAATAAATGTGAGTTTTTATTAAACTTAACGAAAAGCGCCTAAATATCAGCAATAGATCAATATTGATCCGTAAGCTGCTAGCGCAGCTTAAGGCGTTTGGTGAGATTTTTTTCAAATACCAATTGTTAAAAAAAAACTAAACCAGATTGAGCACCTTCTTTGTTATTCCTCTAAAATCTTGCGAACAATTGTATGTATCACAAGTTCTCAAACATGCGATGCAGTTTCCAGTAAAATATGCTATATAAGCCAAATAGTTATCGAAAGTTGTGTCTCTTTCGCTTCCAAAAGCCCTAAAAATAACAATAGTAGTAAAATTTCATATAAGTATAAAATAAAATGGATTAATTTTTGCCTGTCGATCAAATCCCATTGATTTTCTCCATTGGCATCCTCGCAAACGGTTATTGCTGGAAATTTTGTATTCCAATCCAAGTAACTTGTATCAGCTGTAAAACTTACTGCATGCTGTCTAAATTAAAAGAAATAAATTTAATGCTTATATAAATTTATGATGTACTAGAATAACATCACATTATTTATATATGTACACTTGTACAGTACTTGACGAAATACATATTTCTGATTCTGAAATTCTAGTACATATGTAGTAGAAAATTATGCTAATTGATGATTTTTGTCACATTGACGATGCTCGGTAATTTTAAAGATCATTTTTAATTCTGTCTTAAAACTTTTACATTCAATTATAAATAATACATTACTTGCTCTATCTATTGATTGATATTGATTTGTATAAAAATTAGCGACATGATTTTTTATATTATTTAAAATATGTCAATATTTTCATCAAGTTCATGTATTTTCAATATATTAGTATCAGTTAATTAGTTTAAAAATGTTTCTAACCTGAAACTCTGAAAAGCTCCTCTGAAAATTATAAAAACTCCATAAATGGATGCTGTGCATAGACCCAACCATACTATCCTAAAACGAAACATAGTTTTTACTTCAAAATTTATTCTTAGAATATTCATTCATTCCCAAATAATTATGAATAATAATTCATTGTTAATAAATTAACTTTCTAAATTAAAATGTAATTTAATACCTGTCAATTTGTGATAATTCAAAGCCATTGATATATTTTAAACCATGTATGCTTGAACAATCACAATAATAATTCAATCTTTTTCTTAACAAACTCAATTTTTCCGAAATCATTGCAAAAAAGTTATATCTATTTAATTTTTTCAAATATTTAGTTATAATATTTTAATAATAGTATATAATATGCCAATTTAAATGGTTTTTACATTTTGGATGCACTATTACTCTTGAAATTCAAATTTTAATAAAGCAGATAATTTTTTTACTATTTTAGCAAAAAAAAAAGCTTTGATCCAAATAATAGTAGTTATCTTATATTTTGCATCGATATATCGATGCATATATTTTTTAATGCATATGAAATTACATTTTGCATTAATCTTATGCAGGGATGTGCAACCTTTTTGAACCATTTGTTATCATAAGAAAACTAATACATTTTTCATGATGATAAAAATTGAAACTAAAGCTTCTTGATTCATCGTCGTTGTTTTAGTGAAAGTTTCATTTATAAATCATTTTTTCTAATATTCTTAAATTATAAATAAAAACTTTAAAAACATATTGTTGCATTTAAAGTTTATTTTATATGTATTTATAAGACGTGTTTACTATTATATCAATATTGTTGTTATTATAATTTTTTATTATAAATTAGCTTTTCACCTCATTTTCATTTTTTCACCTTCACAATACCATTTTATTTTGATGGTTATAAATAAATAAATATAAAATACATTTATGTTATAAATTATACGAGTTATTAATATGTATTTCAAAAGCAACAAAAACATATGTTTAACCTTAATAATTAAATAAAATTAAATTGATTGGGTTAACTTCCCCTGCCGATCATCAAGGTTTTCCATTAGTATATCACAAAAGATGCTTTTATCGAGAATGTAATTTGCCAATAATCATTATATCAAATCTAGAAATCTATATTTTTTATTATCTGCTCCACATTTTGCAAATAATTTTATTGACGAGATAACTAATAATTTGTAATTAAATTTTGAATTTAACTAAAAATGTTGATAAATTAAATTTTGCATAATCTAGATGCACAAATTTAATTTTTTGATGATATAAATCTGATGGTATAAGATACATTGATAAAGGAAAAATTCTCACAGATATTATAATAATTATGAGTAAGGCCGAGTTTTGGAAAATTTAAAATTGTTACATTTCTTTATATTATTTAGAAGTGGAATTTCTTAATGAAATTTACGATTTAAAAAAAAACTGTGTATTAATTCCTCAAGAATCAGTTACAAAGAAGCTGCTCAAATGATATGTACACAATATCAATATTTATTTATTTATTTATTTATTAAGGGGGCGTCTATTAATCACGTGATCGATTTTTTAATGATTTTTGGACCCTCTCTCCCCCTTGGTGATATTCAAAATCATCCCCTCACTCCCACCAAACATCACGTCATATTTTTAGTTACGAGAAAAAATTGTAAAATTTTTGATTTTGTTTGAAAATGTTTAGAATTTTTTAAAAAAATTAAGGAAAAAATAAATACACGTGACATATTACTATATCCCTCCCTCCCTCACGTTTTGTGATTTTTTGTCAAATCCCCCCTCTCCCTAGAAACCTCAAGTGATTAATATACTTCGAATTTGTCAAAAAAATCACGAAGTAATCACATGAGGGGAGGGGCATCTAGTAAGATATCAGTATATTCATTTTTCACCTGTGTTTTAAAAAATATTGAAAATTTTTCGAAATGGAGGGTCCAAAAATCCTTAAAAATTGATCGCGTGATCAATGTACGGCGTTTTGATGAAACTTGAGAAGATCTGTCGTTGAGACGATCAGCCCAGTTTTTTCTTCAGAATTTGAAAAAAATTGCCAAATAGTTCGTCCATCATTCTTGACTTATTTTGATTATTCAAAACATATTTGAAAGATATCAGTTGGAAATCAGTTGACCTATAAATCGACATCTACAACCACACAAATACCTGTAATCGGATTACACTTCGTCAAAAATCAAAACAGTTCCAAATCAGACGACAACACAACAAAGTCGTTGTCACAACTGTGAATATATCAGGAATAAATTTAAAATTAACTTTGAAATAAAAAAATCATATATTGAATTAAATCATATGGTTTGGCCAAGTTTTATATTTGAAAAAATATACAAATAGATTTGAAACATATTATATATTCTACGACTTGGAATTTTCCTAACAGATTTTGGACATTGCTTCGAAACGTGGATGAATCATTATATCGTAAACTGTTAACAAAGAAACTGCGTTGATATTCAAATACAGTTCTTATAGATTAAAATTATCAATAAATTTAATTATTACCAATCATAAAATAGATAAAATCAACATTGTCGTCTGTCTACAGTTTAATTTTACTTCTACAAGCATTATTCTAATCGGATAACACTTCGTCCAAAATCAAAACAGTTCCAAATCAAACGACAACATAACATTGTCGTCGTCACAACTGAGAACCAGAAATAAATTTAAATAAAAATATCAAAATTGTATTTATTTTATCATTTGTTGGAGACGTATCTAGACTTGGTGTCGGGTTAAATGGACCAAAAATCAGTAATAAAGTCATCAAAACGATATCAAATAAATTCGTGCTTAAACGCGGAGTATGTGAATAAATATTGTAATATCTAACAATTAATTTTATTAAAAATATTATTAAATATGGTGGATCATAGTGAATTAACTCCTTTGATAAGAAGACGTCGAAATACCCAGAAGCCCCGTGGTTTTCTCCAGTCTTGTGAGTGCTTATCAATCTTATCATTTTGATTAAATTAATATTTTTATTAGATATGATTATTGAGGTATTTTTTGATAAGGTTTGTTAGAGGCGCGTAAGTAAGTAATTCGTGTGAATACCTTATCAAATTATTATTTTTTTGTTTGCCGTTATCTTTATAAAAACAGTAGATATGTGCTTAAAATCTTTGTTTTATCGTAGTTTGTATTGTACTTTGGATTTATCGAATCTGTGATAATGAACACAAAAGTGTGTGTGAGAGTTTATGGTACAGTATTCGAGGTTTTTGCAAGTAATTTGCAAATAGATAATAAAACAGATGTTAATTGTA